TACACTGCAGGTTGCGGCGAAGCGTCTTTGCGAGTGATTCATCCGTCTTCGCCAGGCTGGTTGTAACAAGGCTGTTGGGTGAGTGCTTGAGAGTGCACGGTTCACCTGCGAAAGAAAACTCCGCGGAGTTTGGATTCTGACAGCTTTGAGTGATTCAGATGGGAACGAAACACGAAAATAAAGAAATCACAATCAAACAGTAAATGCCGTCAAAATCAACGCTCTGGCAGAACCGTTTGCGAAAAGCACAATACAGCGGAGTACTCAACGTAGGATAATTCATATTAATAAATGCCGGTACAATGCCAGCTTAAATGAGAGGCACACCCTTTTGTTTTGTTTTGTTTTTGCTACCTGCCTCAGTACACTTGCGTCAGGGAAGGTGGCTTGTAACCTAGCTTGGTCTAGTGAATAATTCAACGCTCTTGATACTATTGATTCGATTGATCAAAGCTGTAGATGGGCCAACCACGTCAGAATTTCAGTCTCGTGTGCACTTTACCGAAATCTAATCTGCCCTATTCAATGGTATTTTCACGTGCTAGTTCGCAATCGCTGTAATCCCACCACTTCCGTAAAATACCACACTAGTATCAAATTTATAAGTAAACTTGAAATTAGCGCTTTCAGATAGAATATAAATTCATATTATTTTATCATTGAGCCCACAGCGACGCAGTAACCGTGACTTTTCAGGAAAGTTTCGCAGACAAAGCCACCAGTCAAGCATACAACAATTTTATGGCTTTGAGCCGTTCGTGCGTCACAAAACTTGTTGTATATGAACAGAGCAGTACTTTAAGTCTCAGAGTTTCACCTTCAAAACAAGTATGGTGTCAAATGCTGCCTGTTCGCTCGTTAGATTGAGTGGGTTGACACACACTACAGGGAGCCACTTTGCGTATCGCTGCTTAGCATCGGTGTCCAATTTCTCGTCGTACACGCTCAAGCGAGCCGAACACACATCACCCATGGCTGCAGCAGCTTCGCAAATGGCACATCTCGTACCTTTTAATTCTAAATAAAATAAAACAAGAGCAACGTGCCTACAGTAAATTGCGTGTACCTGTTAGAACCACCGAACTCAACAGCCGGTGTGCCACCAGCCGCCGGTATGATGTCCTTAAAAATGGTGGCCACCCAGTTGCTAGTACAGTTAGCGCACTTTTCGCTACCGCGCCCACCAAGCTGACGTCACGTGAATACAACCTATTTGACGTTCTTGTATATTTAATTTTTTATTTTACTTTTTTAAAAACAAGCATTGGTGTAGCTCGAAAGTGTAACACTTCATTACCAACCATAAGACATTGGTTTAATTACCACTCACATTTACGATTTCATTACTTTATTTGTTATATTCAACTATATAGATTTCTTGCTCAAGAACTATTTTTTTTGCATATGCCCCCCCCCCCCAAGTGGGTATGTGCCCGAGTTGACAGGCCACGAACAAACAAGCTAACTAACTAAATTTTCGCTAACAGTCAACGATACCGACACCGATATGTCTGCATAAGGGCCGGTTCAGACTAGCGTCACGCATGCCTCGCCATTTGACGTTCTCGGCAACTGAGCGCGGCTGTTTTCTTCGTGCACGTCTGCCGTTGTTTGCCAGTTAAAGAATGGGTCTGAAACCCATTTTTGCGCCGTTTGCCGGAGAGTGACGTAGCGAATGAACGACGAAGGAGCGGAATGGGTGAGCCGTGTCCTCTGCCTTCGGCTCTCCGCATTGTCGGCGTCTGCACTTCGAGCTGCTGGATTCTCACGCCATGGTTTTCACGCTGTAATAAATAAATGCGTGGTTCTTGCAGAATGAAGAAAAGCACCAAATTTCTGTGCGCCTAAAGGCGACACGGCGCAGTGAGAAAGAGAATAATATGAAGAAGAGACAGCGTTCGGTACGTAGGAGTGACAGAAATAGAGAACAGATGGGGAAAAAAGGCGACATGGTCAAAGAAGTTTGAGGACGCGGCACCACTTGGTGATAGCTATACGGCGTCAGGAGATTGTGTACGTTGGGCCAATTGACGATCGGTGCGCTGGCGTCGGAGATTCTGGAACACAACCGTTCAGATCAGAATACAGCAGGCTAGTCACCTTCACGCTATAAACGTGAATGTCGTACGTGTTGTTCTCAGGCTTGGTTCCAGCACTTAATAGAGCGTTGTAGCGTCTCCGGTATTCAGAAAAGGTGCAGCGTAAAACCAAACGTGTCCAAAACTGGCGCCCGGACAAGTGATGTCAGCTGTTCAGAGTTAGTCCCGCCGCGTTGGTCTAGTGGCTAAGGTACTCGGCTGCTGACCCGCAGGTCGCGGGTTCAAATCCCGGCTGTGGCGGCTGCATTTCCGATGGAGGCGGAAATGTTGTAGGCCCGTGTGCTCTGATTTGGGTGCACGTTAAAGAACCCCAGGTGGTTGAAATCTCCGGAGCCCTCCACTACGGCGTCTCTCATAATCATATAGTGGTTTTGTGACGTTAAACCCCAAAAATCAATCATTGATAGTGTTGTTTCCTGTATGTATTTATGCCAGTTCAACTGACTGTGGAGATGAATACCGAAAAACATCATGTCAATATTTTCTGACAAAAGAAGTCTATTGAAGTTCAACTAAAAATTGTGTTATATATGCCCCCCTAGATTCGGGAAAGTTCGTAAGCCTACAACAACGATTATTTGAGTACGGCTCTCAAAAACGGTGCCGAATCGATTCGAGTACTGTGTTGTCGGAGCTTAAGCGCATGAGTCCAAAGGAAATAGAACAATTCGTTCAAAGCTTCCATGTTACATAGCGCACGGCGGCCAATCGATCGATTCGAGGTGGTCGACAAATGCATTCGGAAGAACGGCAGTGCTTGTCAGAAGCTGTAATGTCCCACCAGCAAAGCTTGCCATGCACTTAGAACAGCTCTCCTGCAGACGTCGGCCACAGGTCGACGGCACTGGACCGTCAGAGCATGCTTGCAGCTACCGTGAACCAGCCCTAAGCTTTTTGACGCGATAGTGTTAGAATTTGCCAGGTAAAGCATAACGCATTAGCACATTCTCTCCGCGATATAACATACATGAATAAATAGATGAACTTTATTTGTAGTCCTGAGAAACGCGACTTGCGCGTAGTGGGCTTCTTCCCCGTTGAGACAGACAGACTACAGGCGTGTTCACAATTGGCCTCGAAGAAAGCAAAAGTGGCGAAACTCTCCCGAAACTGGCGCATTTCGCCGCCGTAGTGGCCGGAAAACCACGCTGCGTGGCCTGTACGCAAAAATCTATCCGAAACTGAATTTCCCGCCAGGCAAAACCGGATCCGGTTTTCGCTTCACGGCCTTCGCGGCGCTAGATAAAACCACGTGACCTAACCAGCTGTCGCAGATCCAACATCGTGGCAAAGGGGTCGGCGGTGGCTCGCATCGGCTCCAATCGCAAACTACCCATGCAGCACGACGAAGTTTGACGGCCTCAACGAGGACGCGTTGATAGAGAGCCTGGTTTGCATTATGATCGCCGAGAACTCTGGAACTAGACGGTGCAGTAGCAGCGAGTCCACATGCCTTAATGTATTTCGCGTTCGCGTACAGCCAGCTGCATCCGCCGCTGCCGCTGCGTTCGCTCGTGTAGTTTCTGCTGGCTTATCTTCCAAAACAACGTTTGAAAAGGTGCGAGCTGTTTCTTTTCACTTGCGTGAATAACTAAAATTCAGTATGAATTTTATATTTCAGAAAGCGGAAGAAATCGGATTCATTGTCAAGGTATCGACGGCAGCGGCGGCGGGATGGGACAAAATGAATGGGAACATGTTCGGCGCGCGCGGTCGTGGTTTTCCGGCCACTCTAGCGTTTTCGTTTTCTCTTCACTTCCCAAGTGTGAACGCACCCTATGCATGACCACCGCATCGTTGGCTCTCTGGATGGCCCAAAGCTGATCTCCCTTGTTAAATGCGAAAAAAAAGATGGATCAACAGGATGCACAAACAATGAGTGCACTTGCTGATAGGTGGCTTGAACAAGTTTAAATGCGTTTTGCTTACGGCTAAAGCATGGCTTGCCAACGCAACTTTTTAGTCACCATTATCAGTTTGAAGTGAAAACAGCGCAAATTTCATCCATACGGAAAGAAACAGATGTGGTCAGCTCCACTTAGTGAACACTGACAAAGCATTAAAGCTGATCTTCGTCCTTTTCGTCCTCACTCACATTTGGGTGCCTCTGATTGGTTCAACCTACCACTGAGCCTCGCCCTCACTGATCTTGGCAGCTTTGTGACCCTTCCTCTCCTGCAGTGTCTTAATCTCGCAACGCTGCAAGACCACGTGACAAGCGCAATGCCTACGGGCTGGGAAGCATTGACTATCAGCTTCGCTGTTACAAGCCACGCGCACAGTTTGTCTCTCTGCATGGGCGTCTGCTGCGGATTAGCATTTTGCACAGTCCATAACACAATATAACCAATACAATATAAGCAATTGACTAGTTTATGCTGCCATGCCACTGGGCTAGGAGAATTAAGCGTCTCCTGTGAAGTATAGGTGCGAAGAAAATCAATGATAGAGAAAGACAAACATTTCGCTGGAGTAATAGCTTTTGTTTTGATTGAGACAAAAGTTAACACCCGCATACTGGAATAAAGGAAGGAAGGAAGAAAGGAAGGAAGAGCCTGAAGTCTGTGTTACACACCCATGCTGGGAAATAGTCGAATAACGGGGTAGTTCTGACAAAATCCTGTTAATTCATTAGCTCAGGTCTTTTAGGCTTATGTGAGGGATTAAGGGCCAGCTGTTCTTTGTCTATTTTCGTTCTCTTTTTTCTCTAACCGTGCGTGTGCCCGTGCCCGAGACTTAGCGACGCTGTCATCCTTACACCATATAACACCTTCCAGCGCAAGTTGACAACTTAATTAGCGCATTTTGAAGAATCGCAATGAATCGAGTAGTGTACAGAGTTTTTACCAAAATATAATTTGTCCAATTTGATAACACTCTACTCCTTTTTTCGTTATATAGAGGCACACTACAACAGTTTCACCTTACAAGAGCTGCACACAGCCATGTTGTCGCTTCATCCGCTACGGACCGGGACGTGGTGGGTGGTGGAATTGCTGGGACACCACTGCCGCTGACGGCACAGTATGTGACTCGACACGGGTGAGATACCTCTCACTTTATTCTACAAGTGTAATTTGTTTCAATTACATCTCTGCACCACTTCGCACAAAGTTTGAGCATCTGAATTTGCGCGTGTGAGATTGCAGGGGGACACAGAAACCAAGAAAAGGCTGCATCGAGTTTGAACAAAGTAGAAATAGAATACTCCAATGGCAAAATTAAAACCGCTTGTCATCATATTACCTGTACATGCTTGCGCACTTGAGACCACAAGCAGCCGGTAATATAGACACGTGCTCGCATTAAGTGCTCAGGAAGTGAAAACCCTACCTTCTGTCTACTCACTAGGCAAAAAAAAAAGCTGCGTATATATTTTCGTGTGCATTGGCGGCAAGAAAGCTGCAACCTTCGCTCGCAAACGAATTCCACGGAGAACTTTTTTTGCCCTTTTTTCCACTAAATTGCTCCTCTTATATCCATAGTCAGCGTTTGTGGTACCCACTTCTCTTCTATGAGTTTTTACAAGCCTTGTCATGTTTCAGTTTCGAAGTCGTCTTCACAATCTATCTGTGCTAGTCAATAGAGGGTGAAATAGGGAAAATCAGTCCGTTGCTATACATTCTTTTCTGAGTGACAATTAGAGCTATATGATGTCAGCGCAAACAAAACACGGGCGAAAAATGAAAACGACGAGACAAGCGCAACTTTTTTAGCACTGCTCATCATGACTATTTTTAAACTTGCCCAGTTCGCTACCTTCCTACAAAAACGGGTAGACTCGTTGTGGTAACGTGAAAAGTGTGAGGTCGTAGAACGAAAGCATGTTGAGCTAGGTGGTACAAATTTTAAATAGATGAAGGGAAGGCTTCGAAAGACGTATGGCGACCACTGCGCACTGTTCTGTGCACCCTCCGTGACAGTTAAGCCCGGCGTGATACGGCCGCTTACTGCAACTCGCTCGTCCGATAACGGGTAGTGCCACCGCTCTTTCACTGGAGGCTGACGTCACCGCAGGTGGCTATATAATCCAAGCTACGAAGCTTGGTTTCATGTTTGTTTCTCTAACCATTCGAAGCGCAGCGTCGGCATGCTTGCCCTAGATATGTGGGGTTTAACGTCCCAAAACCACTATGTGATTATGAGAGACGCCGTAGTGGAGGGCTTCGTAAATTTAGACCACCTGGGGTTCTTTAACGTGCACCGAAATCTGAGCACACGGGCCAACAACTTTTCCGCCTTCATCAGAAATGCAGTCACCACAACAGGGATTCGATCCCGCGACCTGCGGTGGCTGCAAAGCCCTGCTCCAGCAGGCGCCACCACTCCAGTGACCACCGCAGAAACGGACGTACGTCACGTAATCTTCGAGCTCCCGCGGTTTTCGGTGGAGGTGCCCGACGTATGGTTCATCCAAGTCGAGGCGCAGTTTTCCCTGGCGTGCACCACGCAGGACGCACCCGTTATAATTACATCGTCGCCCACTTGGACGCTCAATTGGCCAACGAGGTCCGCAATATTCACGTCAACCCACCATTGACCAACCGGTACGAACACCTCAAGACCGAACTCGTACGCCACCTGTCATCACAACTTCTGTCCGCCAAGCTCGCCGAACGCAAACCTTTACAGCTGCTTCGCCACATGCGTCCTCTCAAGGGCAGCATGGGTGTCCCGGATTCTTTGCTGAAAGGAATTTGGCTTCAACATCTTACACCACGTGTCCAAGCAATTTGCAGGCTTAGCCCAGGTTTCCTTTCAATGATCTTGCCGAGATCGCTGACTGCATCCTTGAGGTCTCTGAGCCGCAGTAACCACCCACCATCCAGGCTATCTCAACACCACTCAATACCACAGAGCTTGCGCGCCACATTGACAACATCGATCAACTCGGCTACAGTGAGCAGCGCGTCGGTGAGTGAATTACAAAGCGTCATCGATACCGAGCGCAAAGCAGTGACTGTGACACCACCTCGTCACGGCAGCCTGTTCAGCACGGCTGGCGCTACTACCATCGGTACTTCGGTGACAGGGCCCGGAGATGTAGACCACCCTGCTCCACCAACGAGAAGCACCAATGGTAGCTGGTGCAGACGACCATAAGCTGCCGAACACGAGGCCACCGCATCTTCGTCACCGACGACGTCGCGAAACAGCGGTGTCTCATCAATAGCGGTTTCGGCATCTGCTGCTACCCGCGGTAACACCTTCAAGGTGCTCGCCCACCAACACCTTTCGAGCTCAGCGCGGCTAACCGGTCCACAATCAAGACGTACGCCTCGCCGCAGCTGCACGCCCAGCTCAAGAACATACACCGCGACCTTCTCTGGAACTGTCATCGCTGACGTCGCCGAGCCAATCAGATTTTCTGGCTCACTACAACCTTCTTGCGGACTGCCGCAACGACCGGCTCATCCACGCGATAACAGAACACTTCACACTAGGCCAGCGAACGACCGCCCAACAGCGAAGCATCAATGTCGTCAGTGTCGGCAACCATTCGGCGCAGTGCCTTTTAATTGATACCATGCTATGAATCCTCGCCGAGTTTTCCTGCTTGACGCGCCCCAGCGGACCGCTACGCAAAGTGCAGCCCACCAGCATACACTACATCCGGACTACTCCAGGCCACCCGGTTTTCTACCGTGCCCGTCGTCTTGCCCGAGAACGCATGCGCACAGCTAATACAGTGTTCGAGGCAATGCTCCGAAAAGGCATCGCCCGTCGCTCCGATGACCCATGGGCCTCGCCAATTCAACTTGTCCCGAAAAAGACCGCTGGCTGGCGCCCATTTGGGGACTACCACGCCCTCAACGCGCCCTCCATCCCAGACAGCTACCCTGTCCTCCACATACAGGACTTCGCCCACCACCTTCACGGCTGTGACGTCTTCTCCGTGCTGGACTTCGGGAAAGCTTATACGCTAATGCACGCGAATCTGAACGACGTCCCGAAAACTGCAATACTCACTCCGTTTGGCTTGCTTGAGTTTCCCTTCATGAGCTTTGGGCTAGGGAACGCAGGGCAAACCTTTCAGGTCATCATCGACGAAGTCTTTCGTGGTCTTGACTTCTTCTTTGTCCATCTTGACGATATATTGGTCTTTTCACGTGACGCTGAAGAACACCACGGGCCCTTCGTCTGTTGCTCCAACGCCTCAACGACCACGGCCTGCTCGTCAACGTCCAAAACAGCACGCTAGGTGCTTCGACCGTTCGATTTCTCGGCCACGAAGTTTCATCAAAGGAAACTTGACCCTTACCTTAACGCATATCCGACTTGCAGAAATAACCTCAACCCTTGGCATGCAAACTTCTATAGGCGTTTCTTACCACACACCGCCGACTAACAGGCGCCCCTTCATGATGTCTTGGCTGGTCTATGAGGAAACCAACCCATCACGTGAACGCCGACTTTAGTGGAAACTTTCGAGAAATGCAAGGCCGCGCTCTGCACCACCAAGCTCCTCTCCCATCCCGTGCCTGACACTCCCTTGGGACTCTTCAAGACGTCATCTGGTTTCGCCGTCGGCGCCACTCTCATGCTACGCGTGGATAACACTGGAACCTCTTGGCATTCTTCTCCAGGAATCTCAGCTCGGAAGGTCACCCCTTCAGTGGCCAGTTTCGCTGACGAAACTACGACCACTGCACCTACAAGTTCGCCAGCTTACTACAGAGAACTCCTGGCGATGAGCGAAACAGTTCAGTGCTTTTGCCACGTTCTCGAAGTGCATTAATGCACCATCGATAACGACCACAAGCCTCTAACCTAGGAATTCTCTCAACACCGTAACGAATTCCCACCTGTTCAGCAGAACCGACTCTGGTTTATTGCACAGCTCACCATCGACATCCAACATATCAGCGGGAAAGAAGGCGTGGTCACCAATGAGCTCTCACATGTGGCCACCATCAGCTTGGTACAAATGACAGCAGACATTCTCGCCGAGGCCTAGACCACGGACGCCAAGATGCAAGAACTTCTCACTTCAGCTAAAAGAAGTCCCCATTCTAGGGTCGGGAAGCACCATCTGCTGCGACATGTGAACAGGACGAAGCAGGGTCTATGTGCCCCTGAACAATCGTTGAGGTCTACTCAACCAGCTCCACAACCTCAACCATCCCGGAATACGCACCTCTACACGTCTTCTGGCTGACCGCTATGTCTGGCCCTCCATGCAGCGGAATTGTCGCATGTGGGTGTGCTCCTGCATTCACTACCAACGCGCTGAAGTCACCGGGCACGTCACGTCCCCACTCGGAACATTCCCTCAGCCCTCTGGTTGTTTCGAGTCCGTTCACATCGACATCATAAGATCCTTTCCTCTGGCTGGACACTACCGCTACTGTCTCACCGCCATCGACTGGTACACTCGATGGCCCGAGGCATGGCCCCTCGAGGGAATCACCGAAGAACCCGTCGCCACGGCTTTCTTCACCGGCTGGATTGTTCACTTCGGTGACCCCGCCATGTAACCACCGACCAAGGACGACAGTTTGAGTCGCACCTCTTCAGGGTTTTCGGACAGACTATCGGTTTTGAACGCTTGAGGACAACCAGTTCACCACCCCTGCGCCAACGGAATGATCAAGCGTTTTCACCAACGGTTCAAGGCAGCCATTATGTGCCATCCGAAATCAACCTGGCTCAAGGCCATTCCGGCTGTCATTCTCGGTCTTCGCGCCACCTTCAAGCCGGACATCCTCGCTACGCCAGCAGAGCTCATTTACGGAGAACCACTCCGTCTCCCAGATAAATTTCTTGCAGCTTTGCCACCCAGCACTACGACGTCAGACCCCACGGACTTAATCGCTCGGCTCGACGCACAATCGCTGCCTTACGCTCATCGCCTACCCCAGCAAGCCTACGCCTTTTGTGTTCAAGGAGCTGGCATCATGCACGCACGCTCTCCTCCGTGACGACACCGTCCGCCGACCCTTCCAGCCACCCTATAGCGGGCCCTACCTAGTAGTACACCGTGACGACGAGACCTTTATTCTAGGCGCCTTTACGGGAATGACGTCGACGTCTTGATTGACTGACTCAAGCCAGCATACATGATGGCGAACGAACCCGGCAGCGCCACTCCTTCATCAGGCATCCTTCCACAGCCACCGACATCCAGGCCGCTTCTTTCACGACACAATCAGGATGTCTGATACGCCTCCCAAATTAGTACAGACCCTGAGGGCTCTGCACTCTGCGGGGAGGGGGGGGGGTCATATAGCAACCACTGCGCACAGTCCTGCGCAGCCTCCGTCTCGCCACTGATAAGCCCGGCGTTACACGGCCCCTTGTTGCAACAGACGTGTCCGATAACGGACAGAGCCACCGCTCTTTCAATGGAGGCTAACGTCACCACAGGTGGCTATATAACCCAAGCTACCAAGCTTGGTTTCATGTTAGTTTCTCTAACCATCCGAAGCGCACCATCGGCATGCTTACCCTGCTATTGCTACTACGTTAATAAACATCGTTATGTTTTATGTCGAGATCCATCCTTGACCGACTCCGCATTCCATAGACGCAATAAAGAAGCGATATGAGGGTATTTTCTAACTTATATGTAAAAGTGCAGAAAGACCGTTGACTTCCTTGTGTTTACTCTACTGCCAACGGAAGGTATACGCAGGCGCGCAAGGTGCCAGTGAAGCCCCGCCGTGGTGGTCTAGTGGCTAAGGTACTCGACTGCTGACCCGCAGGGCGCGGGTTTGAATCCCGGCTGCGGCGGCTGCATTTCCGATGGAGGCGGAAATGTTGTAGGTCCGTGTGCTCAGATTTTGGTGCACGTTAAAGAACCCCAGGTGGTCTAAATTTCCGGAGCCCTCCACTATGGCGTCTCTCATAATCATATAGTGGTTTTGGGACGTTAAACCCCACATATCAATCAATCAAGGTGCCAGTGAAAAACAAAAAAACAAAATGAACGCGAAATAATAGAGCTAACGCCACATCATTCAAAAGGAAAGCCACAAGCTAAGACCACCGTGTCACTAGTCACCATTATTTAAAGTAACTTAGCTCAGCCTTGAAGAACAGGAGCTATTGTATGATAAAGTACTTCTCACGCACTCGAGCATTGTCATGCTCCTCAAATAATCATGTACCTAATGCTCTGATATTTCAGCCGACATGTAATAACACTGCTTTTCTTAATTGAACGTACAACGCGCTGACGTGTAGAGGTATCACTGCACCTACCGCTGCATTATTGGCGCTGATGCGTGGTAACCATCACTTGTATGCGCACCTTGTTATTCGCAATGCCCGTAGACTTTCGGGCCACCAAGCACAATTCAGGAACGTCTTCTGGGGAATGGTTTAGAGACGACACAATGACAGCACGGTGAAGTAGGTCCCTTGTTTGGCTGTGCATGCCCGAGTGTTAACGGGTAAGCAAGACATGAACACTTCGACTGTACATGATTTCTGCATCAATCAACAAACGTGGCCCTCCTTAACACAATGAATCTGAATAATTCTTGCAAGAGGGGAATTTTGCGCGAAAATTCATGGCAACTCACGCTACCAATAATAGCCCGCAACGTACACACATCAGCTTCGAGAGCTTTCCTGTGGGTACGTAGGTTAGTTAAAAGGTTATCATGTGCTGTTTTAAGTTGACACTCGCCTCGTTTAGAATGTAGATAGCAACATAGCATTTGTCACTGTTTTTGTAGGACACGAATACCAAAATATGTGCACAGGAAGTTGGGTAGGCTTGAGAGCAATCTCCAGAAATCAGTGCGCCCCCGCTTGTCTTGTACATTTGTTTAAAGGTGGCAGCACAGTGCAAGTGATTTGCTTGTTGACCACTTTCAGAGCAAAACGTTCTCCATGCCCTGCTGAAATACAACAGTACAATGCACCTACAGCTGTATACTCCATCTTACAAGCTGTTTGCAACCCGACAGAAACTACGAGATGTAAACGAACCACATGCTCGCGCAGTAACCTATAGATATGTTTGTAAGTGGGTTCAGAAATCTGTTTGCTTGGAGTGTGCCCTTAAAATACCACAGCCTCCAGCGCGCACTGGATGTGCCGGCGTTGCTCTTCTCACTCAGAGGCACGCAGGAAGGACTCCTACGACTCTTGTGTGTTTTCGTGGTAATGCAGCAATGCGTAACCTAATCAAACTTTTAATTTAGCTAGTTAGTACGTGCTTCCTGAATTACGAAAAGACGTGTATCATCAAGGAAGAAAAAAACATTTCTGTTCTGTCTTTAGTTTGTGTTCCTTGATGGTGCGCGTCTATTCGTATTTTAATAGGATTCTAGTGCGCGCAAGCCTACACCGTATGTATGAATGGGCTGCAGATGTGTACTAAGCAGCTTACGACAGCTGCCTAATTATTTCGAAGAGAGAAAAAAACCCCACTGGAATGGTGATTTCACCTAATGGCGTCCGCGCACCTTGCGTCGTAATAAGAAGTTTCTACCATTCGAGAGATGGCACAGTTCTCGCGGCGGTGCCTCACTGTCGGCGAGGCGCTCATTAGAATAAATGCCACCAGCATCTTCTTTCGGCGGGGGGGGGGGGGGGTCGAGTAAGTGTGTTACAGAGTGGTGGGAATATCGCGTGAGTTTTTGCGTAATTGGGCATAGTTTAGGAAAGCCTAATTGTTATTTCGACTTTGTCATTCCTATTTATTTGTTGAAGGAGAAACAATGGCTTCAACGAGCGGTGGGACGCGGATGTGAGATCCATTTCCTACATTAACGGAGTGGCCAGTCAACGGATGTGCCGCTCGGGCAGTCGGTTTTTACCAGCAGCCGCTGCCTCCGTCGGCCTTGCGAGGCAAGGGAGGGGGGTGGAGCAAACAGTTGCCACGAGACACAAGTATGCGTGAGGTGCGAGCATGCGCAGTGGGGGTGTGGACACCAACGCCAACGCACGATACGTCACATCATGCGACTAAGAAAGACCCCGAATATAAAGAAGCCATCGACCTCTTGGACTCAGGGTCCTGCTCATGGACAATACAGTCGATGAGGATTCGCCCATGGGCTCGGTTCCGCGGCTCGCTCCTGTAGACTCGCATGGTGTGTCGAACGCTGCCGATGTCGAACTCGCGGTACATTGTGAGTGTTGCATTGCTTCTGCGTACTGTAGTTCGGTGCGTTATTTATTGTGTTACTGTAGTTCCTGGCAATATTCAGATCACAGGCTAAATGTGCTGAAAAATGTTCACGCATCTTTGAACTGCGGCGCGAAACGCATATGTTTGTTCGATCAATGGTCCTCTAAACGCCAGGCATCTATTTTTTCGACCGTTTCATCGTCCCACCACTCCCCAGGAGCATGTATCCGACACAACAAGACGGGCGCCGCAACAAAAGAGCTAGTGACCTCGAAAGAATGTATGGCAACAGTGACGAAGTGGTGTACGTGGGCGCCGTGCGATACCCAGAGGGAAGGCGTGCTCACGTTATGGCCGTTGTGAATCGCACAGGCAAATGCCTCGCGAGTGCGAAGGTGCGTACGGAAATCACAGAGGCGGCCGAAGAGGCGGCGATTGCTCTTGCACTGGTCGCAGCACCGTAGGCTGCGGTCGTGATCAGCGACTTGCAAGCTGCCATCCGTCGCTTCGCACGCGGTCGCATCTCGTGTCTGGTGGCCCGGATACTACCATAAACAATGTCAACAAGGGCAGCGGCGAGCTTCGAGGAGCAATGGCCTCGGCGTCGTCGTCCTCGTATCTCAAAACTAAAAATTCGAAGGTCTTCCTTATGTGGACCCCAGCTCACACCAGCGTCCCGCTGGCAGGAAACCATGCAGGTGGCCCACACCGCGGCTCGAGATCTCACTCACCGAGCCGCGGCCTATTCTGTGGCCGCCTTCACCTCCGAGAGCGAAGCAATGACATTATCGACACACAAAAAAAAACAAATGAAATGCGCGTGGGGTGATCGCCTGACTACATTCAACGACATTACATAACATTACAGACTAAACAGACGCAAATACCCACCATCACACCACAAATGGAACAAAAGACAGGCCGTAACTCTAAAGTTATTACAGACAAATACGTACCCCAGCCCGCCGATCCTACGCCTGGGTTATCCTTATTTATACCCGATGAACACGTGTAAAGCGAGCAGGGAAAGGGCCACACGGCAGCACATGCTTTGGGAGTGTGCTGGAAAAGTTAACGTCACTGCCTCCGCTCTTTTCGCAACCCACGTTAGGCAGGCACGAACTCCCAGGCCAATTGCTGCTTCTACCACCGCGCGAGGGCAGGGGCCGGCCTCCGTCGTTTGCTGTAGTCACTGTTGCTGATCGGCAGCGTCAGCGGTGCTGCCGCTGGGAGGGGGCAGTCACCAGCGACGAGCGGGCCGACCAGCTTTAGGCCGTCCAGAAAGCTGACGATGCCGTCTGAACCTAAGGACTTCGAGCGGTCACCTGTGGCACCACCATCATAATCGACGGAGAGTGGCTACGGACAGGGGTGAATCCTTTCTTCCCCCACCTCGCCCGGTGAAAACTGCTGGACTTCAAATAAAGTCTATTCGTTCATTCGACCACAGAGCACCGTTTCATTGATAGTCATCTTTTGTTGTCCTTGTTCTTCTCACCTGTGTTTGAGTTTCTTCAATTTTTTACTGCCGATTTTAGGGCAAGAGGGCAATACGTAGTACGAACTCAGAGGGTCTACATTCGGTGACGATTGCTTTCACTAGTGGTATCAGTTTCCATAGCTCGTACTTTCGCGCGTCCACTGATGAAGCTACTACTTGTTTGCCTTTTCACAGCCGTCCATTGAGCATTCACTGAAATTGATATTATGGTGATATCTGCATAAGTGATCCTTTTCAAACCAGGCCCCTCGAGCTATGACAACACTTACCCACATTGAAAGAGAACCTACTGCTGCAGTTAAAGTGTATTATTAGGTTTTTAAAGCCTAATAACCAGTTGGAGGAACAATCAGAATGATAGACACATTTTTCGTTTCAACGAAAATAATTTAATTGTGTTTTTTTTTTCATTTTTTGCAGGTGTGCTTAGATGGAGCGTGCGGCTGAATACACTCTTGTGACAGAAGCAAATTATGGGTTTGGGTCAGCTTACATTTTCTTTCTATTTGCTTTTCTTGTCGCGCAAAAACCAAGCACATTCACCGAAAGCCAGTGAAGTATGAACAGACTTGCAAATGTATAAGGCAATAAAAAAAAAGGTCGCTGAACATTTTGAGCCACAAGAATTTGCACCTTCCGTTCACTGTTTTTCTGGGCGCCTCTGTGTCTCCTCTTTTTACACGACATGCAGTCATGCCAAACCAAAAAGCTTCTCAAACAAACTGGTTCCGTTTTTGCACAACTTACAAATATAATGACGTTTTTGAACATGAAACTACGTATATTTTAACTAGGAGCTTAAAAGAATATAACCAAACCTGCGACACGATCGTATACAGGTTTTATTCATTTAGACCAAGTGAATCTTGTATGACGTCATGTTCATTATCTTGCACCTCTGTAGCCTAGCACGAATGCTGAGCGGGCTTTCAAGCGATTATGAATATTTTTTAAGAAATTACCGACCACAGCCATCTTTCGACCGTGTACGAGTCGAGCTCATGAACAGGCATAGTATGAAAAATATCAAAACTTTATCTCAAGCAATAAACAAACAACCTGCTGCAAGAACAACAATGCATCGCTGCCACAATGTTGTATGGGAATCGAGTTCCTCGATCATATAGATCAGCGTATTTTATAAAGATGCAAGACTAAGTAGCAGTGCCGATTTCAACAAAGAAACGAATATTATGGGTCGAGAACCCCTAGAGAATTGCAAAACAAAGGAAACCTACCTTACGAAAAGTCTGCCTCTTGATTTAAAGGACAGGCAATAAACCTCGCTAATCTTATAGAAATAAAGCAGTAAAATTACGCTTTTTCAATTTTTCAATGGCCACTATACAAGCGCTAAATGATAAGCCTCTAAAGAAAGTCTATAAACCCATTAGCTCGCTCTTGCTTTCGGCAGTGTGAACGGTAGCGCTTTTTTGGTTTTACATAGTTCAAGACCAGCAACTTCATCAGCCTGACTACGCCTATAGCGAGGCAAAACCTCTCCCTTAATACGCCAATCAACCAGGTCTTGGGCTTTACTTTGCCACGCTATACCTGCGAACGTTTTAATGTCATCTCCCAGCTCACTTTCTGTCTCCCCTTCGTGAGTTACTTCTCTGGGAATTCATTCAGTTACCCTAATGACCACCGGTTATCCTGCTTACGTGCTACGTGCCCAGCCCATGTCCATTTCTTCTTAATTTCAGCTATGATATCCTGAACCCCAGTTTGTTCCCTGACCCACTCTGCCCTCTTCTTGTCTCCTGAGGTTACACCTATCATTTGCCTTTCCATCACTCGCTGCGTCATCTTCAATTTAAGCTAAACCCTCTTTGTGCGCCTTCAGGAAGGAAGGAAGGAAGGAACAGGAGGGAAGGGAAAGGCAGGGATGTTAACCAGTCTGGAGCGACCGGTATGCTACCCTACACTTGGTATAGGGATGAGGGAGTTTGAGAGATGAAAAAAAAATAGAGAAAAGAGAGCTCGCACACGCGTTGGGTTAACAAATGCTGATGACTTGGAACATAATGACGCACACTAATTGGCGAAAGTCCGAAAAGACGCGGTTTTAGTCCACTGGAGTTGCACTGAATGATGGATGCTTCCTTGACTTCTTAGAAATGATGGTGATCGTTAGCCATATTTCTACTCGTGTGACTCTACGTTGGCGGAAAAGTCAAGCCGAGGGTCTCCATATAATCCTTATCACAATATTAAATATTTCTACGCTTTGCACAGGCCTTTTTTTATTAACAGGTTGCCCCGGACATTTATTTCCCATTTCATTGTCACAACGCAAATTTGATGTACTCGCTCAAAACAGCTTTTACTGGGCCAAATGCTACCTTAGTGCTGCCAGAGGCAGTAGTTTTACGTCGGATCCAGTGAATAACGAGTCCACTGCTTACGACGTTGAGCTCAACTTGCGCAATTAGAAAACACTTACCTGAAAGTTTAAGTCGTACAATGCTCTCTTCTAAGCCGAAAGATAAATATAGTTGTCTCTGCGAAGAACAATTCCTTCGATGTCATAGGTGTCCTTCCGTTACACAGCTTGCGTCTTTTCATCTACACAGCCTCGCGAAGGTAACCAACCGTGCAGAGAATAATTGGAGAAAACCTTAGCGGAGAATAATCGCTAGTATCGTTGCTTGCCCATTGCGCCGAAGTTTTCAACGAAGTGTGCTACTGTTCGCTGTTCTTGGGTATTCCAAAGTACCTACAACACGATCGAACAAAACCGGTGGTAAAGTTTCATGACATTGACCGCACGTGTACGATGGCACGTTGTACGGTGGTGCATAATGACATTTTGAACGATGCACGATGTACATCGTACAGGTGTACGATGACCCGTAGAAAGGTTTCTGTAGTACATCTCGCGGTGGCTCTCTATTACAAGCTGTTTCTCCGCCAGCTCCTCAGGACGGCGCATTGTATGAATTTCAGGCGCGCTAAACAGCCAGCACTGGCTTCAAATGTATACGACGCCTATCAGTAAACGCCATATGAAAAGAAGTCGTGAAGCACCTTGAATGATGTACCGCTTGTTCGGCTTCTAAGATGACGTCGCGTTACTTCCAGTGGCATAGTGGCGTAGCCAGGGGATGGCACACCGGCCCGTGCCAACCGCGCTGAAATATTTTCGCCATTTAACAGGGACAGAAAACTACCATTTCAAGTGGGTTCCCTCCCCAAAATAAAACATGCCCCTTTCACCTAAAAAAACAAAAACAAAGAACTTCAGACTGCGCCTCCAGTTGTTTAATAGCATATCGCGGGAAGGATGGGCCTAGGATCTATGACATGTAGACTGCAGTCAATTTTTACTAGTATTTGCAAAAAGCTGATCTCTGCAACATTTGAAATAAGTGTGGTGCAGGCACACACAAAACAACTGAATAGCAAACCACAAGTTTATCCAGCACAATAAAAAACGTGAAGTTTCACCCAGTGACTCTAAGCGGCTTGCTTCTAATCATCGGTCCTGACTTTTTCCGATAGCCTTTGGGTCATTTCCAATGAAATGTGGAAGCCCCTTATGCGCCAATCTCAAATGCAATCTAAAAAAAAAAACCTGCGCTGCCTTGCTGCATTTGAAACGCTTTATTACGAATAGATTTCAGAGAGAAAACGGTTTTGGAGACTGGGATCCCTGCGAAGAACGCAGAACATCGCCTCTCTTTGATTAAAGCAGTACTTACTCCCTTGTGTGCTCCAAACTATGTTTACAAGGTTATGAAAAGGCGTTTGTAAAGACGTTCGTAAGTGAATAAAAACAAAGTAATTTTTCGCTGCATACGTTCTTGAAAATACTGTGAAAAATTCTTCGTTTTAATTTGTCCTCTTTCAATTATGCGCTCTACGTGAGCATCAAACTGATCAACACTTATTCTAAGGAAAGCACACTTACACTAAAACAATTTATAAATTAGTGAAGTTTCCTAAATATTGAAGACGAAAATCTTAGAACATGTGAAAAGTAAACAATATAAAGAAACTTCAGATTCAGTAAGGTGCACGTAGTCTTTGACTCGAAAATTTTGATAACTTAATCGAAAGCAGAAACACTTTTCGATATTTATGACTTTTTTGTTATCTGTTGAAGGCGAACAGGTACTGTGATGAGAAGCTTTAAATTTTTTTTGTGGAAATAAAAAGCCATGATCGTCCATGCCATACACTACAAACATCGATTTGCTCTTGGTGAAGGTTTTAAACAGATAATTAGGTAGAGCATTACAACCATAGTGCGAATTGCGTCTCAGTGTGGTCTTCTGGTCCATTGTTCAAACATCTTCGCTACAAATCATTGTATCAACTACACCTGTATCATAAATTGGCGCAGGCAAATACCATTGGGCGTGTTCTAAATATACTTTTTTGGAACGTGAGCTATTTTGCAAAAAAAAAGAACTTTGAAAAAGCCTATTTTCGATAGCACAGAACATGCTAGCAACCTGCGAGAGATAGAGAAGAAAAGCGTGCTGCAAATTATTGGTCATATTGTATTACGCATTATTCACAAATATTTAGAATCTTAAAAAACACTAGTTGTAAGTTCATTCTAGTACTTAACACATTTTACAAAACACGAAATCAAAGTGCTGTTCCAATGAACGCCTGTAAGCAGTCTAATATAACTGTGAGCAATTTCATCACAGCTTAGAAAAATAGCTTAGAGACCAATCGCAATGTAAACCCTACACGCAGAACTTTTTTTTTCGAAATTGGAAGGAACAGCAGCTCATAACACTTTTCCTGGAACGCTTTCATTATATTTATGTAAAATGTACCCACTTGAATCGAATATTTTTTGTACAAACATTTTCAAATACCTGGTGGCCAACCGGACACCTGGGAACAGCGGTTCCTGACAGCGCTTCCATATGCAGTCAACTTGACCAAATGTCATCTTTTTTTTCAACAACAAATGCATCGCTAAAAATTACTTCAATTTCAGGCTTTTACCACGCAGTACGTGATTTTCGCTATACAACTGGTCCTTCAAGATATCTATGCAACTCGACCATCAGCGAAAGCTCGTGGCATGCAACGACGCTCTCTTCTTCGTACTGCTGCCCGAGCGTGCAAGCTCTTTTTTCTGTCCTATATCCTTCAAGCTGCACAAAGAACAATTATAGTGAGGAAATAAAACTTGTCGTTGAACATAGGGCTCTTCAAATGTATCTGACGTTAGCTCGAATTCATGAAAAGAAAATAGAGTGTATTACACTCGAAAGTATATGTAAACAGTAGTTGAAAATTTTGTTGAAGTGCACTAAAACAGACGGACAGAATAGGCTGACAAGGACAGCGCTTGCTCTCACAAGTGAAGGTGTATTAGTCAGAAAAGTTATTTAAAGCGGACACATGATCTTTCACACATGTGCATCAGAACAGGGTGCAACAGAAACCACTCGAGTTAGGATAACAAAAATTGTCTATATTATATGTCATTTATCATATTATGGAAGTACTAGGTGTCGAGGTACGCATATTCCTTATCATATGCAGCACAATCGTAGCTCGGCTAACACAGCCATGTCTCCTCTTTCGGATGTGGTAAGATTCCACTACCTCACGAGTTAGCTCATCCTTGCGCCGAAATAATACTTCGGTTTCT